TTAGTTCGATCGCACAACAGGATGCATTCCATAAAGATGGAACTAGCATTAGTGAGTAAACATTGCGCGAAGGAGGTTGATGAAGTTAAGGACTTTGAGACAGAATATTTTAGATCACTGGCAAAACATACCAGTTTTATGATACAGACAGATCTCTTTTCCCTGCAACAACATTTGTATCTGCAGTGAATAAACATCATAGGCAGTGAGGTATGTAACATTACAGAATATAAATCTGAAAAATTAAACCTGTATACCACTTGAAGTTTACTGCGTCCCTACATGTGATGCCATGTAGTCAGGTAGATTGTTACTAATGGTTTGAAGGGTGTTACATTATAACTAGCATTTGGTAAAGATCAACATGTACAATATTTCAATGTACAGATGGAAAGTCAAACTGAGTGCTCAATTTCTATTCAAGCATATCATAAATAAACAGAAATTTATAGCTTAAATTACTTACATTTCCAGGTACAAATTTTTCATAATGCTTAATTATGCCATTAAATTTAGTAGCTGTAGCAGCCCAAACTGCTATTTAAAGATTTTAGTATTCCTACTCTGAAATTGTACATGTATATGTTATATAATACTTTTAAATCGTGTTTGAATAGAAGAACTTCAGTTACTGTAGTTTAATTGTATTCTTAACAGAATATCTGATAATATACTAACTTCTCATGCACTATTTGTCTTCATTTTAGGTCCTCAACTGATTCAGTACCTATATTGAAGGATGGTGCAGATAATGTGCAGATGCCAGGGAAAGAATTCCAACTGCAGGATCCTGATGTAAAGCCTCTGCAGTGTCCAATTTGTAGCAAGAAATATAAGAATGAAAACTTCTTTCAGCTGCACATACAAGTACACAACAACCTTGGGGGTCTTTCTTGCAAGATTTGTGGAAGAACATTTTCAAATCTGAACTTATTGAAAAAGCACATGGTTTCTCATGCCAGTGAGCGCCCATTTGAATGTGAAATTTGCCACAAAACTTACAAATGGAGATTTGAACTTAAAAACCACAAGGAACGTCATTCTTCAGACAAGAAGTATAAATGTGACATGTGTAACTTTACATCTTCACATAAGGATTCTTTTTCCTTACATAAGAAAAGACACATTCGAGACTACAGATTCACTTGTGAAATCTGTGGTAAGGGCTTCTACACCAATCCTGAGCTGCAAGGACACTATGCAGGTCACACAGGAGAAAAACATCAATGTGAGACCTGTGGAAAGGGTTTCTCTCAGAAGGGAAACTTACTTGTACATCTTCAGATCCATGATCCAAACAGGAAAATAGACAGGTATGCTTGCGATGTTTGTGCAAAGCCTTTTCAGTACATGGCCAGGCTTCGTGCTCACAGAAAGATCCATGAAGACAAGTCTAAATTCATTTGCAACTTTTGCGGAAAATGTGTGGGTAGTGCTGTAGCATTGAAGATCCATCTTCGCCGTCATACTGGGGAGAAACCATACATCTGTCAGGTGTGTGGAAAGGAGTTCAGTTGCCCAACATATCTGAAAGGACACATGAGATCGCACACTGGTGAGAAACCCCATACTTGTAAGGAATGTGGAAAGTCTTTCAGCCAACGCACACCTCTGGTGGTGCACATGAGATCTCACACAGGACAGAGACCATATGAATGTAACATGTGTGGCAAAGGATTCATCACCAAGGCCCTTCTTGCAGTACACATTAAGAATCACAACTAGCTCATCTTGACAGAAAGGTAACATTTCTGTGAAGAGTACAATCTTGTGGAATGTGACACTGTATGAAGTTTATCAGTAATTTTGAGAAATTTGCTGCTTCCATCTTCACAGTTGAAGAGTAAGTGAAGCAAGCTACCAGCAACACATAGATAGTTCTGCCCTCTCAGCTTGCTCAGCAGTAGGATCCACTGGTACACCAGACTATATGGTGTCATATTTTACAAGGTATTTCTGTTAATAGGCACCAATGTAAGAACCTCAGCGCCAACATAAATAGACTGATCTGTGTAGAGAGGCAGGTATGCATGTCAGAGAGACATGGGGTTCAAGTTTAGCAACCCACTGGCACTTCCTTTGTATGTATGTGTCGTGTAATGACAATAACACAAACATAAAAGGGGGACTGACATATTAAAGTGATTATGATATGCTCATTCCAAATCAAGTTTCAAGTATTTTTCATCTCAGTTGTGCTTACTGAAGTTTGAATCAGAATAGCAGTTTCTCTTTTTTCACTTCAGTGCTTGTTGCTTTGAGTTCTTATGATTCTTATCGACAATGATGTGAGAAAAGGTTTCAGTACGGAATAAAGTTCATTCTCATTTCAATAATGTTATTTCAAGTTTCATAATTATATGTACTTGTACATCTTTATACCTTGCATACAAGAAATAAAGAAATCAAGAAAACCTATGTATGTTACAACTTCGTGGCTGTCATTTTTGTGATCAGCATACCTGATCTAGCCAAATACAACTTATTTTGTGCTTGTTATGGAAATAATGTGTAAATTAATTATGCTTAGTAATTACTCTACAGATATGTACCCTTAAGGCAATTAAAGCATGTGCATTACTCCCATAGTGTACACTGTCAAACTCTTGTGGAATAAAATACTGTCACGTTTTTATGGAGTGGAAAATAGACAGGGTTTGGGTTGGTAATTGGATTTATTGAACTGCTGCAGATCATAACTACAAGTAACTATAGCCCTGTCACTAATTCACACTCTGCAGTTGACTACAGTATGTAATAAGTCTTCTCAGTCTACTGTGTCTTCACCAGTTGTCCGGTAAAAGCTTTCCTCACCATAGATCCCTCAACTTCTGTATTCACGACTTCATGCCCCTACTGGCTGCCACCTATGGCACTGCAGCTCCCGAACTGAACTAACTGGCCTTCTATTGCGAAACTCCCAGGCCGGCAACCATCTCACACCAAACTCCAACTCCCCTCACTGCCATCTTATGACTTTTCTTCTAATGGCAGCTGTCCCTCATTATATAGCCTCTGCAGGGACCACACAAGAAACGCCTCACCCAACAGTTATTCTGTTGTATGTGTGTCTGTTTCGGCCATTACCTAGCAGCAGCTGTTGTATGGCTGCTTATTTCATGGTCATTACCTAGCAGTGGGTCTACATGCCACATTTAGCCAAATTCACCTTATTTTTTACACGTTATGGAACCAATGTGGATATGAATTTACTGAGTAATTATTCTGCCCTTAAGGCAATTAAAGCATGTGTATTAGTTGCATGGTGTACACTGTTACACTCTAAGATTGTTTGAAATAAAATACCATATAACATGATGCTAGAAACATATGAGAGTTAGTGCCAGTTGTCACTGACAAATCTTTGCAAGAGTTCCCATAAGTAATGTAGATCACACTTTCTCGTAGTGATCATGGGGAAGTAATCTTTACTACTGTTAAGATGAACAGGAGACCGGAGGGCCTTTGACATTTTAAAACTGAGACCTTCTTGCTAAGAAACTGAACCATGAAGGAAACCTGTAGAAACGTGACTATGGGCTGGACAATCAAAGAGCTGGGATTTGAGTTCCAGTAGGGACAAAGAAAAGTTTCTCTTCTCCATAACATCCGGACCAGCCATGGTGCCCACCCAGTCTCATATGCGATGTGGACCAGGGGCTGTTCCCCTAGAGGTAAAGCAGGAGGAGTGTGAAGTTGACCTCTTACTACCGTCTAGGGTTGAGGTCAGGGATGGCAGAGCTGTACCTCCACTCACCCATATGTCTATATTGCATGGTTCCCCAGATATAACTTTACATTTTTTATGAGTCAGGACCCCATACTTGAAAGAAAAATTAAAAGCTTTGCTACTCATACAAGAAGAGGATAGTGTGCAGAGGATAGATTATGAGTTGCTGGAATGGTACAGATATACAGGAGGAGTGGAAGAGCACACATCAGCAGGATACTGCATACCAGCTGGAAGATGTGTAGGCAAAAACAAAAGGTTTGTTTAGTGGTGGCAAATGTTTCCCCCTTTTTAATTAAGCACTATGTCATGAAGACACAGAGGAGTGGAGGTGTAGCTCCATGCATTTTTAACTCTTGGTATTAGATTAAAGTGGGCGGTCACCTTCATAACACAGTGCTTTATCTAGAATGAAAGATCCATGTTACCCATTGGTTTGGATCCTGGATGGACCCTGAAGGCAGTATGGATGCTGTCAAGAAGAGCAACATCTATTTCCCTTGCTATGAATTAAACCCTTGTTCATAATGACATTGCTCTCCCAGGTCATTTACAAGATAGTTGAAAGAATTTTAAGGAAGGAGACTGGAATGAAGCATAGACACAGTAGTTCTATAAACCTCGTAAACACAGTGAGAAAGGGATGCGGAATTTCACAGTGAAGAACTTTAACCCTGTTGCTGCGATATTCAACTGAGCTCCAACAAGTATCCCTTACCACAGAACGTGATACTGGAATCTAGTCCAAATCAAGGGACAGTCATTCCCTTTTGCTGTGTCATTGGACTTCCTGCACTGGGCTATAAAAATGCATTTTTATTATGAGTTTCTTCATATTTTTGCCTAAAATTATATTGTTTTAAGAAAATGGTGATAAAATTATGTGTATTGAAAGGATTATTCAAGTCCCTTCTTCTTCTTTAAATTCGTAGAAATTTACCGTAGGGTTTATGTGTGTCTGTAATTCATTTTATAAACAAAAAATTTGGTTGAACTCACTTAAATTTAACATTGAATTCTGCACATGAAAAAAATAGTGAATTATTGCAATGCTTCTGTTATGAATTTAGCTGTAAATACTTGTACAAAGTTGCATGACTACCATCATAAACAAATTCTGATTACTTGCATAATACAAATCTTGTTACAGAGAACCAATAAAGTAAGAGTGATACTTCACTATAGCAATATTCTGAGATGTAGCAACAGACATACAGAATTAATGCTTTAAATTGTGGTTGTATTTTCATACAATATGAAAATTCAACACTTTAATACCAAAGTGCAATGTGGGATCAGTTCAGCCCAGTTCACTTCCTTACAATCTAGTTCCCTATGAATTATATTTATATTTTCCTCCAAACCCTTTGACTATCTTCATTGTAACCACATTTTCAATAGATTCTGCCATAAATATTCTATTTACATTTGTTACATACCTTGTCCAATCCATTGTACCATTCTCTATTTAATTACCACAATTTTTAACCTTTTCCCTGCATATGATTTGTTACCTCTTTCTTAAAAATGCAGTTTAAAAAATATGAAAGTGCAACAAAAAATCATGTTTGTAGTGCCATGAATGGATTCAAATGACTCCATGAAAGAAGAAGATTATTTCTTGAGGGGCATGGAAGCCAAATATGTGGTAGTGGATGCATGTTTGATTTCATTTGAACATCACCACAGTATGGTTAAGGATAAAACTGTCTCAGCCCTGTATACATACAAAGACTTCCTTTGCAAATCCCACCACATTGAAAACCGATTATATGATGTCTAGTCTTCACTTTGGAGAAAATTAACCAGCTGCTCTCTGAGAGTATCCTCTCAAAATCAGTTGATCCAGCTGCAAAAGAAAATAATGTCAAAATACCAGTCATTAGTCCATAAGAGATTAACAGCGGTAGGAGATCTATACAGATGTCATCCTACAAGCATCATGTTTTTGGACATTATCCATCATCTTGCCTATATTTAAAAACCATCCTGTTTATTTTTCAAAACTCAGCATTTTGGAGACTAGATTCTGTCTCCATCCTCAGGTAAAACCTACTCACTTGGGCCCAATAGATAGAGCTAGTCCCCGTCTCTGGACACCTGTGCCAGTTTCAAGAAGGGGTACATAAATCAAACACAACACAAACCATCTGCTAGAGCTAAGAAAATATTCAGTTTTTGAAACTCCACACATATGAGGCCTTGCACCATGGAAGTATCTCAATTGAAATCATCGCTGGAGAGAAGCAATACTTTCGGTACCAACACAAGGGACCCCCCCCCCTTCCAGTACAGCTACACTTGATGGCGTTGTAGTCTCTTGACTTCTGCTATGATGATGGGGGTCCAGATGGGAGAGATATCCGCTCTGGGTTAACTGATTGGATGGTCCAGCAGAGACATGAGGGCTGATTCCTTGAATTTCCTGTATAATGTGTTGGGCCAATCTGCAAGGCCTTTGCTTCATTCCAACATATTTCATAGCTCTCGCAGATGGTTTGTGTTTGATTTATGATTTTATTGGGCCCAACTGAGTAAGTTTTACCTGTGGATGGAGACAAATCCAGTCTCCAAAACGTTGTGTTTTGTAAAATAAACAGGATGGTTTTTAAATATAGAGAAGATGATCGATAATATCAAATAAATGATACTTGTAGCAATGTACCATCCTCACAAACTTTTAAGATGTTCCTCATTATGTAATAATCTCTTGTCATGTGTATGAATGACTGTAGATGGGGGTACTGTCCCATTCTTGTTTCCTGATTGTCATATGAGAATACTATATGTTCACTCCCAGCTCATCTAAGGTAACTGTTATAAAATTGTGCACAGTCTGGTTAAGGACACAACTTGTACCAACTCCCTTCAATTTATTCCAGATTTCTGTCTGGAACTTCTTGGGCTCCATAGTACACCAAAATGTAATTTGCAGTGAAGTAATTATACTTCCATGCCTCTGTCTCAATATATTATTGATCTAGTAAGATCTCCTACCAAAACAAATTTATATCTTTCTTCTAGGTCTACAGATCTGTGTGTTGGACAGTCTAACAGAAGGTCAACATTAATCAAAACCAAAATTAGGAGCAGTGATGCATACAGTGAGCAGAGAACATTTGTGTGTACAACATGCAGCACAGTATATGACACAAGAATGAAACTCATGCTTCACATGAAATCACACACATCATCTGGGCTGTTTAAGTGTATGTACTGTGAAAAAGCATTCCTGAAGCTGAACCTACTCTCAAAACACATGGTGTGTCACAACACAGCACGTCCTTTTCAGTGTGAGATATGTCACAAATCGTTCAAACGTAATTATGAACTGACAGGACACATGAAGGTCCACACTGGTGCAAGGAGCCATACATGTGACATATGTGGGTATTCAACCATACATAAATCAAATTTAGAAATACACAAGAAGCGACACATTGGTGACTTTAAATTTCGTTGTCACATATGTATGAAAGGCTTTTACAGTAAAACAGAGTTGCAAGGGCACTCAACAGTGCACACTGGACAGAAACACCCTTGTGAGTTCTGTGGAAAAGGGTTCTCTCTGAAACAGAACCTTAATGTTCACTTGCAGATACATGATCCTGACAGAAGCAACAAGCGTTTTCAGTGTGAAACTTGTGGGAAGAATTACCAACACAAGAACAAGCTCATATGCCACCTACGGTCACACACAGGTGAGGCCAGATATGTATGTGAGATATGTGGCAAGTCAGTGACAAGTGGTGTCTCTCTGAGGACACATCGCCGTCTCCATACAGGCGAGAAGCCTTTTGTGTGTGATACATGTGGAAAAGCATTCAACTCACCCAATTACTTGCGGATACATAAGCGTTCACATACAGGGGAGAAGCCCCATACTTGCAACCAGTGTGGAAAGGCATTCACACAGCGCTCCACCCTTGTTGTGCATGTGCGATACCACACTGGGCAGAGACCCTTCCAGTGTGAATTGTGCAGGAAGGGATTTGTAACAAGGACGCTGCTCACCACACACCAGAAAAGTCACAACTAGTGTTTCAATTCTGTGAACATAAATCATGCAAAACTTGAAGGGGAGGCATGAGCATAGATGTTCCTTAAAGAAGCTGAGCATGGAGATGAGATTTAGATTCATATGATTCAGAATATTGTCCAGTTGCATGTTTATATGGACACAGTAATGAACATATGAAACTGGGAGTGTCTTGTTTAGCTGAGGGATGAATGAGATTCTGATAGTTATGTTGGGAAAGAAACAAAGCAAAGAAGTTATAGCTGAGCAACATTTGCTTCTCAAAAGGGACTCTGCACCATGGCATAAGTTATTTTCTTTATTAAATGAAATGTATTACCTGCATGGCTTATTATTTAGTAGTTCCTGGATTAAATACAGTAGTGGGATATTGTGACTGAAAATTCACATTGTTTTGTTTCAGTCCCTCTAAGCTATGAAGACAGTACTACTTTAAATAGAGTTCTCTGTAATGTGGTTATGAAAAAATTAGATTTTTTTGTAGTGAGAGTTAAATTATCAGAAATGAAAGCTAATATGCAGGATGTCCCAGAATGTAAGATCTGTATGCTGAGAGGTCATTTTATTGGTCATGCTAATCAAAAATGTATATATGCACATGTGTCCTGTTCCAAACAGTTTCCAAGATAGTGCTATTTCACTGTACAGTAATTTGGATTTGGCGCCCAATATTGTTCTCCTCTCCCACATGTGAATCAGTGTGAAGCATCAGTTGGCTGTTGTGACAGTTGATAGTGACATTGTAAGAGTGTTGTGAAAAATGCTGCACATCTTCACAAATGCCAAATATGCTGATATGCTGTAAGCTCTCCTCACACGAGTTGCAAAGTGCATTGATATTAACGGCGAAATTTTCGAAAATATATTATACTAGGTCAACTGTACCAACTTTGACACTTGAAAAATAAATACTTGTGTTAGAAACAGTGCTTAATATCTCTTTGTTATCAACAATTTTGGAACTGTACAGTGAAATAGCTATATCTTGGAAACCATTCGGAATAAGATACATGTACATATACATATACTGTTTGCTTAGAATAACCGATACTGTGAACTCCCAGAATATTGACCTTTCTTCCTGGGACACTCTGTATATTTATGAAAAAAGTTGCATTATTTATTTACAGTTATTGAGTTTTTGTACATTACCCATCATCTTGTTTTTTATGTTTAAAACACAAAGTTCCGAAGATTGGATTCTGTCTCCATCTTCAGGCAAAAGCTTACTCAGTTGGGCCCAATCAGTGGAGCTAGTCCCTATCTCTGGACTGGTCCAGCAATAGGGACTAGGTCTATCAATTGGGCCAAACTGAGTAGGATGTTATCTGAAGACAGAGACAAAATTCAGTCACTAAAATATTGTGTTTTAGTGTAAAAAAAGCAGGATGCGCAATTTTGAAAAACGCAGTGATTGTGTTAATATGCCATTGTCACAGACTTTTAGATTTTTCATTTCTGTAGTTGATAAAATGAAACACCATGTTATTCATTTTGGTGGAGATGAATCATGAACCTCTAAAGTCAGCTGTTTATAGAATGATATTCTGTATCACAGAGGGGGATTTTATTATATATCCTTTGTGTCATTTATGAATGCTAGCACGTGCTTTGAGTTTAATGCTTCAGATACTTCTAGCTCTAAGTTGAAAATGTTTCAGTCTTATGCTGCCAGTAGTTTCTCATTAAAAATAAATAGTAAACCAAGAGAAATGTGGTACAGGGTTCACTGTTAGGGTTCCTTTCTGCTTCCTAAATGTTCTGCAATTGCAACAAAAGATGTTAATCATGATCAGTTACTATTTTTATGTGCACTGTTATAATAAAGTGACAAAATATATATAGACATCTGTGTGAAAAATGTGAAAGCTGTCTGATTAATATCCCTGGTGTCATTGCACTGTGAGATAACACAAATTTAGTTTGGAATACATTCCACTGTGTAACTCATGTTTGTTTTCAGTGCACATACACACAGTAAAAACATGTAGAAAGATTCTTCTCCTTCCATCTGCAAGGTCAGAGAGTAATTCATGTTAGCAAGAGCAAGTAGAGTGACTTGTTGTAAGAAAGGGGTCTAGAACAGTGCTTTTAAACCCCTAATGTGACAATAGCAACAAATGTAAATATGAGTGTAGAGCTAATTAAACTAATTAACTAACTAAATGAATGGAGAGCCCTTCTTGAGTAGCCAAAAGTTTTGAAGTTAATGCTGTTTTTAATTGATAGATACTTATAGTGAATTCAAGCAGAGTTTTTCTTATTTTGATAAATAATTCTGTCACCATGAAATGTAGAAATTTGCAAACCTGCACATATAACCCTAAGGGTTGCACAGCTGACTGAATATCACAGAGTGGTTGTGTCCACTCTGACTTCACATTCAGGAGATATGTTTCTATTACCTCTGGCTATCCTGGCTGAGGTTGTCATTGGTCTGTCCAGGCTATATCCAGGATAATACTGTAAGAAATGTTCCATATCAGGTTCCTTCCATATGCACAATTCTTGATCATATTAGTGCAGTAGACACAGAAATAGAGGCTATGCCCTTTTTAATTGAAGAAATGCTCAGTCATCTAAAATAAAAACTACCTGGAACATTATCAGCACTGAAACAGGTAGGACTAACAATCAAAATAAAGAATGTCTACCACAGACTTTTCAAAATAATAATAAAAAAATAAATACTGAAGAAGCAGCTCATAGTTTTAATGAATAGTTCACAACAATAACAGAAAATCTTAATATTAAGAAAACTAATATTTATACTGCAATATCATACTTGCATTCCCATTTCTCAAATGGTATTCCAGATATGAATCTTAATTTAGTTGCAGAAGAGGAAATAATTGGTATAATTAGCAAATTAAAATCAAAAAACTCTTCAGGGTATGATGTTGTAACAAATAAAATTTTAAAACTGTGCAGACAACAAATCAGTAAACCTCTAACTTATGTAATTAATAAGTCATTAACCATGGGTCTACATCCAGAAAGATTAAAATACGCAATTATTAAGCCAGTATACAAAAAAGGGGAAAAGGCTGTTATAAGTAACTACAGGCCAATATCTATAGTAACTGGGTATGCAAATGTTTCTGAAAGAGCAATTTTTAGAAGACTTAATGATCATATCATAAAACATTACTTTCAGAGCAGTATGGATTCCGAAAGGGATTATCAACCAAAGATGCAATGTTTAAATTAACCAATGTAATACTTACCCAGGGAAACCAGGTGGGACTGAAATTAAATGTGACACATCAGCTGTTGGTCTACGCCGATGATGTGAATCTACTGGGTGATAATGTAGATACCATAAAGAAAAACACACAAACTTTAATTGATGCAAGTAAAGAGATTGGTCTAGAAGTAAACACAGAGAAAACTAAGTATATGTTACTGTCTCATCACCAAAATGCAGGGCAAAATCATGACATAAAGATAGGAAACAGATGTTTTGAAAATGTGTCACTGTTCAGATATTTGGGAATAATGATAACAGATCAAAACCTGATTCAGGAGGAAATTAAGAGGCGATTGAACTCGGGGTAATGCTTGCTACCATTCAGTCCAGAACCTTTTGCTTCTCGTCTGCTGTCCAAAAACATAAAAATTAGAATATACAAAACTATAATTTTGCCTGTGGTTCTGTATGGGTGTGAAACTTGGTCTCTGACATTAAGGGAGGAACACAGACTGAAAGTGTTTGAGAACAGGGTGTTGAGGAGAATATTTGGACCAAAGAGAGATGAAGTGACATTATTTTGGAGAAAACTGCATAATGAGGAGTTTCATAACTTGTAGTCTTCTCCAAGTATAATTAGAATGATCAAGTCAAGGAGGATGAGGTGGGCAGGTCATATAGCACGAATGGGTGAGATGAGGAATGTGTATAGGATATTGGTGGGAAAGCCAGCAGGAAAGAGACCACAGGGAAGACCAAGGCGTAGGTGGGTGGACAATATTAGAATGGATCTTAGAGACATAGGATGGGATAGTATGGATTGGATGGATCTGGCTCAGGATAGGGACCAGTGGAGGGCTCTTGTGAACACGGTAATGAACCTTCAGGTTCCATAAAATGCTGGGAAATTCTTGAGTAGCTGCAGAATTGGCGGCTCCTCCAGAAGAGCTCAGCTCCATGAAGTAAGTGAGTAAGTAATTCTTACAGCCTGGAATGGAAAAGAGTATATAACTTGTATGTTTTGTGACATAGCCAAGGCCTTTGACTGTGTTAATCATGATCTTCTATTAATGAAACTGCAGTGCTATGGAGTGCAGGTGTATTATTGCAATGGTTTAAATATTACTTCCAATATAGGAGGCAAACAGTGGCATTAAATAATATAAATAACAAATATTTTTCTAACTGGGAAATTGTTGTATGTGGTGTGCCTCAGGGATCAGTGTTGGGACCCTTACTCTTTAATATATACATAAACGATTTCCCCTTTGAAATAACTAAATTTCTGAAGTTATTATGTTTGCAGATGACACAAGTATTCTTTGCACAGCTAAAGACTACTATAATTTAAAAACAAAATTGGATATTGTTTTCAATCATATGTTTTCGTGGTTTCAAAATAATCAATTAGTGTTAACTCTGGATAAAACAAAAATGATAAAATTCACCCCAACAGCAGCTACGAGCTATCCTCTATGTACATTCTTTTTTAACCCAAAGCTGAAAGAAGTAGAAACTATAAAATTTCTCGGTTTGCAGCTGGACAATCATCTGACTTGTAAGGGACATATCGATTTTTTGCTTCACAAGTTGAGCATAATTGGTTTTCTAATGCATAAATTATCCTATATATTAAATATAAATAGTCTTATAGCTGTATATTATGCATATTATCATTCATTGGTGAAATATGGAATAATATATTGGGGAAATACATCAGACAGTCATAAGATCTTTGTTATACAAAAGAAAATAATAATAATAATTATGGGAGTGGGCCCAACTCATACGTGTATAAATCTATGTAAAA